GATTGTGGTTTGGCCTGCGTTGGGGCTTTGCTGCATGATTAATCCTGACAAAAGGCCTTGTGGCCATCCCCTGGTGACTCCTCCTAGAAATCCAGGAGCTGTTCTACTTCTGATTTCCAGTAAAACCCTCCCAATCAACCTTTGGTTTGCAATTTCATTCCTCCATGCTGCAAGAGCACAGATTCGGTGCTTCTGACATCTAGCAGGTTGGCAGTAACTCTTCTCACACTGGGATGCAGCAGGGACAGCATGGAGGGAGTCCCTGGGGCAAGCTGGAGACCATCCTGAGGTAGCAGAGACACTTAGGGGGGCATCCTCACCGAGGTCCTGGAGCCCCACCGGGGCTTTGTGGCTTGCACTGGGAGCACCCCTGTGATGACTTCCTCTTGGGGGTGGGCTGCACACTCTGCTGACATGCTGAGCACCAGGCTTCCTGTTCAGGCAGCTGCCCCTCAAATTCTAGGGTACAGGTCCAGGGCCTAGTATCTCCAGAAAGGACATGGAAGTCACCAGCATGTGCTTTCTGTCCATTAAACTTTACAGACGGGCTGAAGGCTGAGGCTAAGGAATGGAGAGCCAGAGAGGGACAGTGAGCTCTCGGGGACCAGCAGGGCCATGCGCGTGGCGCACCAGGCCTGGACAGCAGGGAGGGGCCTTGTCCTGCAGGGTGGAGGCTGAGGCTTCACTGGGCCCTGTGCACACATGCGGGGTCTGCAGCTGCATGTCCATGTTCCTCTGTGTCAGTGCATTGCTTATGTGTGCATCGAGTGTGGGCTTGGCTGTACTCAAGTGTGGGTTTGCATGTTGTATTCCATGTGTGTGAATGTGTTTCTGCGTGGTTGTATGTTTGCACTTGCTTGGTCTTTATGTGTGCACACTTGTGAGTGTATGCATGGTAGTGTATCTGCATGTTCATGAAGGTGTGTTTGCCTTGTGTCTGTGTTTGCATTGTGTAAATATGTCTTCGTGGCTGTTTGCACATGTGCAAGTGCATGTACACGTCGCTGTGTGTGGGTTTACATGTGTCTGTAGTGTTGTGTATGTTGTACCACACACACAGGTGCATGGTTCAGTGTGTGCATGTGTGTCCATATGGTTGTATATTTCCGTGTGTGTGCATGGCTGTGTGTGTACATGTGTGTGTGCATGAGTGTGCCTGTCCTGCTTCATCCTTGTGTTGTCATCAGGACCTTGTCCCCATCCCTTTCCCCGAGCTGAGGCATTTCCTTCGTGCTGCTCTGTTTTGGTCTCACAAATCTGGGGTCCTGGGGGCTGAGCTGTCCGCTTCGCACAGAGCCACGTTCGCTGCTCTGTCCTGGTCCCAGGTGGTGGATCTGGGCTGTCACTAGGCTCTAGACAGCCCCTCCGGCAGATGCGGCTGACTGTGCTTGTGCTGTGCTGGTTCTGAGGGGGACAGGGAGGCCAGTGGGCCCCACCCAGGGAAGGTGGGGGGCAGGGTGTAGGTGGGGGCATGGTGTCCAACTTGGTACCCAAGTGCTATGCTGGGCCACTCTAGGTTTCAGGGACAATTTGGGGACCCAGGAGGGTCACCCTAAAGAAACCTCCCTTGATGAGTGGGGCTATATTGCCTCTGGGGCAGCGGCCAGCGTGGACAGTGATGGCTAGAGTTGCCTCTTATGAGAGGGCTGTGAGTGTCCCAGAGGTTCAGAAGAGCCTGGCCTAGTGAGTGGCAGGGACCCTTCACATGGAGGCAGAGATCATCCAGAAGCACGTCCGGTTCCCAGCTGCAGTGAGATAGACACCATGGCCGTCCTGGCACGTCTAAGGCGCAGGCAGGGGCACTGAGCGTATCTACACCACATGCAGCCAGCCTCTCCCTGCACTTCCACAGCTGTGCATTTCCCTGGTGCCAGCTCTGCCCCACCGCATGCTGACACCAGGCCCCCGCCTTGGGCCTGTCCTGCCCTCTGTCCCATGGACCTGTTGATCCTACACCTCCTTGTCCTTCTGCGTGCAGCTTATCTCACAAAGCCTCAACCCTGCCTGTGAGGGTCAGTGTCCCATTTTTAAGAACACAATAGTATTCCAGTGCATCGACAGGTTGCGTGTTGTGGGACCTTTTGTCCACCAGTGCATGCTCGGTTGCTTGCACACCTTGGCTCTTGTCACTGATATTGTGCTGACCCTGGGTGTGCAAATCCACCTAGATACCCTACTATCCCATTTGGGGTGTGATCCTGGAAGTGGTCCTTTAATTCTCATGTGTAGATTTTTTATTGAGAAAAATTCCCTTTGCAGGGTTTGGCAACCCCCACCAGCACCACGATCCCTCTTCTCCCTGGGCCAGAGGTCTTAAGGGTCTGATGGGTAGCAGAGGGAACCCGGATGAGCCGGTGATGACCCAGGCAGGGGACCATGTTTGGGGGGACAAGACCAGCAGAGGCCCCTAACTATCAGACCATGGGGCCCTTTCTGGGCAGAGGAAACTGGCTGGTGGTGGCCCCAGAAGATATGTGTAGTTCACAGATCTGCCCCAGGGTCTAAGGCCCCAAGTTTTTGTAGGTGTATATGCACAGGGGCTGCTGCGATGGTGCCTGGGCCTGGGAGGTGGGAGGTTGACAGGTCAGGGGTGGGGCAGGCAGATATGGGCAGGTGGAGCGGGTGTGGGAGTTCAGCCATGCAAGGCCAGCGCTGGCCCCTGGTGTGCACCAGGGAGGTCCTTGTGGAGGATGTGGAGCAGGAGCTGGTCTTGTGGCCAACTGCACACCCGAGGGACAAGGCAGCCTTCAGCCCCCGCCCAGGCTTGGGAGAAAGTCTGTTTGCCCTGTGACTCAGAAAACAAACACACGCAAGCTTCAAATCAGTGCAGCCCCGCCATAAAATCAAATTTGCGATACTCCTTTCCTCCCAGTGCCAGGGTGCAGCCCCTGCCCCGCACCCCAGGCCCAGGGGCTTCCTCCACCCTGGAGGAGACTCAAGGCGAGCTCCCTTCCTCCAGAAAGGCCCTGCTGGGTAACCCCAGAACCCACTCTTCTGTCTACCAGTGCAGGGTCGGGGTCACCCCATCTGAGCCAGGAACCCCTCCCTGGAGCCCACTTTGGCCTCGCCAGCTCATGAGACCTCTTTCTTTTTCACCAGGTCACTCTCCAGCTATGGCTGAAAGTCCCACTCCATGGGAGGACACAGTCCTCCCCTAGCTGTAGACCTTGCTGCTCACTGGTCTTGATAGGTGGCACAGACCCTCCTGGTGCCCAGTGTGGGGACCAGATGCAGAGTAGAGGACGCTGTGAGGGCTCCTCCACTCCCTACAGCCTCTGAGCTTGAGTCAAGGCCCTGGCCCCAGTGCCCCAGTGGCGTGGCCCTGGAACCCTCGGAGCCTCAGGCCAGCTAACACCCTGCAGGTCATCTTTCAGGGGCTGTCCTGAGATAAAGTGACACTGAAGAGCAGCAGGCAGCCAGCCCTACTCCCCGGCCAGGGCAGTCAGTGTGTGATGCTTGCACTGGCATCAGGTGCTGAGACGGGCGTGCTGCTGCTGGGAGCCTCGGGCCTGGGCCTGGCTTCACCTTCAGGGGAGCACAGGCCGGGCAGGCAGTGGCTGTGTGTGGACACCTGCAGTGCCCTGTCCATGCCAACTCTGGTGCTCCACATGTACAGGGCCTGATCCCAGTCAGACGTGCCTGGGGCTTAATCTCCCTTGAGTCACCAGGGTTTAGCCACCAGGATAAACGTGCTTTTGGACATTCCTTTCCGGTACCAGATTGGGGCTGCAGGCAGGATTAGTGGCCTGGCGATAGCGTGGCAAGGATGCTCAGGGATGTGGTTACAGCCTCCACCCTGTCCGGTCCCCAATGTTCTTTCTGTCTCCATGGCGACACCTGGGGACATAACCCAACCCTTTCCTGCTGGCCTCCAGCAACTTTGACCTTATCAGATCAGGCCAGAGCTGAGGAGCTCTGGGACCAGGGTGGAGGCTTCCAGGGCCTTGGCCGTGTGTCCCTTGTGCCACCCATGCTCAGCACCCCTGCAGGAGGGAGACTCTCCTGGCTTGGCACAGTGCCCAAACTGACATGGTGGGAAGCAGCTTGTGCTTCCCAAGGTCCTCGGGGAGGAGGGAGCCCAACTTGGAGGCCAAATCCCCAGCTTTGCACCCCAGGGCACTAGCTTGAGAACTGCTCTGGGCCCCAGGCCCGTGAGCCCCAAGGACCCTGGTGGGTGGACTCTCAGTACAGCGCCTGAGGAACTACGAGGTTGGGTTTTCTGTGAGGTCAGGGCTCAGCCCAAGAGCCATGCTCCATAGCTCAGACTCTGAGGACACCCGACTGGCCAGCGTCTCCAATCACTTGGTCCCAGCTGCAGGTCCTGAGCTGCCAGCCATTCAGTCCAGCCTTGGACACAGAGGCTAAGATAACCCACTGCTGGCCAGTGACTCAGTCAGGGCAGGGGCCTAGGTGTGGACCCCATGGTGACTCAGGACCAGGACCTTGTGCAGGGGCAGGCACTGGCGGTGCCACCTCCTGCCTCTTATTCCCTGCCCCTGCCTGGCCTGCAGCTCCCCTGGCTGCCACTGCAATGGGCACAGGGCCCTGGGTGTCAGGCTTGAGCCCCCTGCCCTGCCCAAGACATATTCAGCCAGCACAGGCCACCATGTCCAGGGTTGGCCTGGAGGCTGGAGCCCCAGCCACTGGGCTCAGTCATGCAGTCACACTCCTCTCACTTGCAGCCCCCAGCCCACCCTTGACGCCCCTCTGAGCCATTGGGCCCAGGCAGGCAGGGTTGGGCAGAGTCCAAAGCCCATGGCTGCATGCAGGAGAGGCTCACCCAGGCGCAGCAGCCTCCGGAGGCAGCGGGACATCTCAGCCTGCGCCATGAAGCTGCAAGAGTCCAGGGTGGCCCCACCCTCTGCCTAGGTGGCCCAAGGTGAGTGCCTGTGTTTACCCAGGCAAGGGGGTGCCCCGCCTTTTGGGGAGCCCCTACAAAAGGCTGCCACCACCAGGTACCTCCTCAGAGAGCACCACGGGGACGTCCCCACACTCGCACCATGGGTGCCAGCTGCAGGATGCTGGCCGTGCTCTGGACCCTGGCTGTCGCCTGTGCTCAGCACACAGGTGAGATGGCAGGGTGGGCAGGCCATGTGGGCATGTGCAGGGCTGCCGGTTGGGGCTCCCTGTTGGGTGGCAGGACCCATATTTTGGAGTCTTGCTGGCCTATTCCCAGGATCCTGTGGTACCTGGGTGGCGGGTGTGGTGGTGACAGCGCCCCTGGCACACATGGAGAAGGGTCAGCTGCCTTCCTCTCTGCTGTGCACTCCCCGCCTGGCCTCCCCTGAGTGCCCATGTTGGCCTCCTCCTCCTCCTGAGCCTGAGACCCCCCCGGGAGCGCTGAGGAAGGCCGTCCAGGGAAGGCAAGGGTCAGGAGCCAGAGCTGGGAGGCAGAGGGGACCTGTGGGCTCTGTGCAGGGCACCTGGGCCTACTCTGTGCTCTGTGTCCCCCAGGCCATCAGTCATGGCTCTCATGGAAGGTGTTAATAGAAGCCTTGGGGAAGGAGGATGCAGGCCCATGGGATGCTCCAGCTCTGGGGCTCCCCAGGAGTTGAGCAGTGGGCTTGGGGAGAGTGAGGCAGCACTGCCCACGACCCTCTGTGTAGGTGTGGGGGTGGGGAGGACAGCCCCACTGACTGCAAGGCTGCATCTCTGGAGTCTGGTGACACCCTGCGCCTGTGCACAGCCACCTCCACAGCGCCCGTGTCATGTGGGTGCTGCCGGGGCCCTGGCAGCCCTGGCTCTATCTGTGCCACGTGGTCCCCTCAGCCGATTCTTCCCAGGCCAGCGGCTGGGCTCCGCTCCTGGGTCCCTGAACAGCAGGGCCTGGCAGAGGCAGATGCTCGCATCACTGATGACTGGAAATGAGGGTGTGTCCAGCAGCAGAGAGGGCCCCTCAGACCCCCAGCCCCGCCGAAAGGGAGGCCCGCGCTCTGCTCAGTCTGTGCCCTCTCCCACAGGCTGGGCCCAGGAGGGCACCCTGCAACCCAGCCATGACGCCTCCCCCAACCTCTCTCCCCTGCAAGGACACAGCGGTGAGTCTCAGCCCTCTGCGTTCCGGGTCATCTGATCCTGACCCACCCCAGTGACCACTGCAAGGGCTCAGGACTGGGCTGAGGGGCCCCTGGCCTGCTCCACCTTGCCTGTCTCCCCCAGCCCACCCCTGGGAAGCAGCAGAAATGCTGGCGGACCAGCACGTTGCCCATAGGACTTCCCCGACTTCAGGGAACCAAGCAGAGGCCTTGCCTGGGAGAGGGCAATGGGCAGGTCCGTTCGCAGCTTCCACAGAGCAGTGCAGGGCAGGGACAGGCAGGAAGCCTTCCTGCTCATAGCACCCAGTGGGCAGCCAGTGTCCACGGGGGCCTGGGCCCCGCTGGCATTTCCTGAAGCCGGGCCACACTAGGTGAGCCTGAGCCCAGGCCCAGCATGTGAGATCGGGTGGACTCGGGCATCTGAGATCTGTGAGTACAGCTCCATGTGCAGGCAGATGGTTCTGGGCTCCAGGGCTGGAGGAAGACCTTGGCCGCCCCTGCCTGGCACCCCCGTGCATCTGACACTCAGGGGGCAGCCCTGACTGGAGGAGGTCCCACCCTGGGCACTTCCCACAAGCCCTGTCTCCACAGGGTCCCCACTCCTGGGGGTGACCATCCTCCCCCCTCTGATGACCATCCCTGGACTGCAAGGTAAGGAACCCGAGGCTGATGTGGAATGTCCTGTGGGCTGGCCGAAAATGGGGTTACTGAGTCTGGGCTGATGCTGGACAAGTGTGGAAAGGGACAGAGCCCTGGCTGGCCGTTCCCAGGGCTCCTCCTGGGGGGCAGGGCCGTGGGGGACGAGGCGCGGGGCGGGGGGCTGACAGGTGCCCACTTCCTGGCTCCCCGCAGCCCTGAACCCCGCACACACGGGGCGCGTCTGCAGCACCTGGGGCGACTTCCACTACAAGACCTTTGATGGCGCCGTCTTCCGCTTCCCCGGCCTCTGCAACTATGTGTTTTCTGCGCACTGCGGCGCGGCCTACGAGGACTTCAACGTGCAGCTGCGCCGCGGCCCCGTGCCCAGCAACACAGCTCCCAGCAGAGTCGTCCTGAAGCTCAACGGCTTAGTCATCGAGCTGACCAGGGATTCTGTCCTGGCAAATGGCCACCTGTGAGTCCCGGGGCTTCAGACTTCTAGGGCCAGGGCTAGAGCAGAGCATGTGGTCCAGGAAGGGACAGGTGGTGGCCAGGCCCAGCTCCCAGGGCCACAGGGGGTGGGGGCCCTCCTGTGGGGTCACCTCCGGTCCTAACCCTCAACACCTCCCCCAGGGTCCAGCTTCCCTTCAGCCAGGCTGGGGTCTTCATAGAGCATGGCAGTGGCTACGTGAAGGTGGTGGCCAAGCTGGGCCTGGTGTTCATGTGGAACCTGGATGACAGCCTCTCGGTGAGGAGGGCAGGGGCAGGCAGAGCCCCTGCAGGGTGAGGGCGCCTCCTCCCGATGCCTTCTCTGGAGAGATCACAGAGAGCTCTGGGTGAGGAGGGTGAGAAGGCTGGCCCCCCACATGACAGGTGGGAGAAGATGGTGCCAGCGGAACTCAGGATTTATGCCCAGGAGGACCTTCCTGGGGGGCATCTCCTCCAGGCCTGCTTGGGAACAGGGCTTTGTGCAGCAGCCCGTAGCCCGCGTCCCCGCTGGGAGACCCCGACCTCTCTCTGGGGATCTGTCTCTTATGTGTGGGGCAAAGGCTGGCACCTGATGTCCTCCCTAACCGTAGCTGGAGCTGGACACCAAATATGCCAATCAGACCTGTGGGCTCTGTGGAGACTTCAACGGCATCATGGAGGCCAGCGAGTTCCTGTCCCACAGTAAGCCCCGGGCTCTTCCCATGCCAGGCACACACAGTCCCAGCATGTGCACGCTTGTCCTCAGCACCTGCGCACACCCTGCATGGCACGTCTTGTGCCTCCCAGGTGCATGTGGCCTAGAATGCCGGCCAGACCCCTGAATCTTGGTGGCCCAGCCACACCCTGGCCCCTGGCTCCTGCCCCGGGCCTGTGGAGCCCCCACCAGTCCACCACCAAGGGTACCCTGCCATCCTCAGTGTGGGCCTCTTGGATGCTGGGTTGGGTCTGGGGCTCACAGCAGAGCCTGTCTGTGTTCTCTGGAGATGCTAGGTTGACCCCTCTGCAGTTCGGAAATTTGCAGAAGATGGATGGCCCCATGGAGCAGTGCCAGGACCCCAGCCCCACACCCCAGAACTGCTCTACCAGTCTTGTGAGCTTCAGGGTGCTCGGGTGACAGGGAGGGCAGGAGCGGATACCTCTGTGGAGCCAGGCCTAACCTCTGGCTGCCCTCAGGGCATCTGCGAGGAGCTGCTCAACAGCGGGCGGTTTGCAGGCTGCACAGGCCTGGTGGAGGTCCGTGGCTTTGTTGAGGCCTGCCAGCAGGACCTCTGCCGCTGTGAGAGCGCTCACCTTCCCAACTGCCTCTGCCACACCCTTGCCGAGTTCTCCCGCCAGTGTGCCCATGCCGGTGGGCAGCCCCAGGACTGGCGGAGTCCAGACCTCTGCCGTGAGTACCCTGCCCATCCTCCTGTCACAGCAACATTGCAGGCCTTCAGGGACGCAGCCTGATGCAAGCCCACTCTCCCCTGCAGCCCAGAATTGCTCCTCCGGCATGCGGCACCAGGAGTGTGGCTCGCCTTGCACTGACACCTGCTCTAACCCCCAGCACTCCCAGCTGTGCGAAGACCACTGCGTGGCCGGCTGCTTCTGCCCTGAGGGTGAGCCTCTCCTCTCCCCCACTGCTGCGAGCCTCTCCTCTCCCTGCACTGCTGCCAGCCGAGTCCCACTGACCCTGTTCCATGGTGCTGCTCCCTGCAGGGACGGTGCTGGATGACATCCATCACACTGGCTGTGTTCCTGTGTCCCAGTGTGCCTGTGTGTACAACGGAACTCCCTATGCACCAGGGGCCAACTACTCCACAGACTGCACCAAGTGGTAGGCCCGGGGTTTCCCTGCCCAAGTGCAAGGGGCGGCCCCAACCTGGGAGGCTGTGCAGCGGCTCAACCCACAGGTGGGGTGTCTCCTTTTGCCACACCTAGCACTTGTGTCGGAGGTCACTGGAGCTGCCAGGAGCTGCCGTGCCCAGGAACCTGCTCAGTGCTGGGCGGTGCCCACATCTCCACATTCGACGAGAGACAGTACACGGTGCACGGGGACTGTGGCTACGTGGTGACCAAGGTGCGGGGGTGGGGAGACTGCAGGGACCCCGGATTAGACCTGAGGAGATGCTCAGCCCCTGGGCGCCTGGCCAGAGCACTGGGGGAGCTCTCTGATTTTGGGCTTTGCTCTATACTAGACTGTGTTTTAGGTTTGTAAGTGAGCTGGGCAGTATCTCCTATAATTAACATTTCTGGTGCATTTGTCATTGTGAATGAGACAAACTTGCCATACACTGTTCTTGTCGTCCCTGGGGTTCACCAGGTTCCCTGTCTGTGTACATGACACCCTGTGCCTGCTACTGGCACCACAGACATGTTGCTGCCCCAACACGCTGGGCCTGTCCCGGCCTCCCTCCCCACTCTTGGAAATCAGGGTCGCTCGGTCTCCCCCTCAGCAGGGCCTTTCTCTTGAGGCCTCTGGGTTGGAATCCCATGTGGCCACCCTCCCAGGTGATTGGTTCCTGTCAGGTGCCTCCCCTCAGATCACCTGGGGCTGGCAGAGTGCCCCACGGACCTATGGCTCTGGGGGACATAGTGGGGGTGCAGGGCATGAATGCCTTCTGTGTTCCTGCAGCCCTGTCAGGGCAGCACCTTCGCTGTGCTGGGTGAGCTGCGCCGCTGTGGGCTGACGGACAGTGAGACCTGCCTGAAGAGCGTGACCCTGAGCCTGGGCGGGGGGCACACGGTGAGTGTGGGGGTGGCCATCTCTGCCAGGACTGGGGTCACAGGGGTGAGTGCAGAGTGGGGCCTCAGGACTCCTTGCCCCTCGGGTCTTCTGGGTGACTGTCCCCTCGTAGGGACGAAGCCCTTGTTGCCCTCCTGGACGCAGGAAAGAGGGAATTGACTATCTACTGAAGTTGACTTTGTATAAATTAATTTTGGTTTTTGCACTGTTAAAAAGTGTTTGGGGCCAAGGAAATAGCTCAGTGGACTAAGCACCTGCTTAGGCAAGCGCAGGAACCGGGGTTCAATCCCTGGCACCACATGCTGCGCAGGCCACACCCCTGGGTATGCTGAGCTGGTGACTGAGTCCTGGTACAGCGGCACATGCCTGTAATCCCAGCACTAGGGAGGCTGAGAACAGGGGGATCACTATGAGTCGGAGCTGTATACTGAGACAGTACCAAATACAGTAATAATAATAATAATAATAATAATAATAATAATAAATTAGAAATAAAAAATGTTTGGTCCTCATGGACAGTTGAGAAAATTGGGAAGAGCCCCAGGGCAGGACTTGGGGTGTTAGCCCACCTGGTGGGGTGCATGGCCTGTGCGCAAAGCCCCCAGCACAAGCAGGAGCAGTTTGCAGTCTCTGGGCTGGAATGCAGGGAGCCGCATAACCCCGTGCTAACCCCACTGCCGCCGCCTCCAGGTGGTGGTGGTGAAGGCTGGTGGGGAGGTGCTCATGAACCAGATCTACACCCAGCTGCCAGTCTCCGCAGGTGAGTCCCACCCCCACCCGGGCCACTGTGGGTCCTGACCCAGGCGGCCAGTGAGCTGTGTCCTCTGTGTTCACAGCCAACGTCACCATCCTGAAACCCTCCACTTTCTTCATCATCGTGGAGACCAACCTGGGGCTACAGCTGCATGTCCAGCTGGTGCCCACCATGCAGCTGTTTGTGCAGGTGGCACCTGAACTCCGGGGACAGACCTGTGGTAGGAGGCCACCCCAAAGTTCCTGCCCTGCTTCTGTCCCTGTCCCCAAACCCCATGGATCCTCAACTGCCCTCTCATTCTAGGTCTCTGTGGGAACTTCAACAGGAACCAGGCAGATGACTTCACGGCCTTGAGCGGAGTGGTGGAGGGCACAGGCGCCGCCTTCGCCAACACCTGGAAGACCCAGGCCTCCTGCCCCAACGCCAAGAACAGCTTCGAGGACCCCTGCTCGCTCAGCGTGGAGAACGGTATGTGGCATCCCAGGGCCAAGTACAGTGGTGCCCGTGCTCCTGCCAGCTCATGCCAGCTACTGCTGCTTTGCCCAGGGGCCAAGCTCGGGGACCTGCTTCAGGACCACAGAGAGAGCATAGTTCTGGGCTCACTTACTGGAGACAGGGCTGGGGCAGGGAGCTGGCCTAGGCTGCTTTGTCCCCTCCCTCCATGGTGAGGAAGCAAGTGAAGGCCTGGAGGGGTCTCTCTGTCCATCTGTCCATGGCGGGGGTCCTCGTGGCCCCAGACAGTGGAGGGGCAGAGGGAAAGTGGCAATGCCAGTCTCACTATGCCCCGTGCTTTGGGGATGTGACATCCCTGCCTTCGGCATCATCTGTAACGTGGCCAAGGACAGCTGTGCCAGGCACCCCCAGCACCCGCAGGAGCTTCCAGGGTGCATGACGGACGACACCCCCCTCTGTTCACAGAGAAGTATGCCCAGCACTGGTGTGCACTGCTAACAGACACCAGTGGCCCCTTCGCCCAGTGCCATGCCATCGTGAGCCCCAGCTCCTACTACTCGGTAAGGCTTGCTGGGCCCCACTGCTGCCACAGGGCTGCATGGCCCATGTGGGCTTATGGTGCCAGGGAGGCTTGGAGGGCACCATGTGACCACTCCACGGACCAAGCAGGGCCCAGTCCTGACTCTGCCCTGCCACACCTACTCATCTACTCATCCCTCACCCAGCTGTGTGCTGGTGCTGTGCACCGTGCCAGACCCCAAGGTTATGGACAGCAGGATGGAGCGGGGCTGTGCTTGGCACCCAAGACCCAGAGCTGGTGGGGCTAGCCTGCGAGGCCTGGCTCCCAGATGCCAGTGCACATCCTGCAGAAGCTTGGGGGCTCGGTGAGGGAGCTGAAGGGGCAGAGGGATGCTTGCTGTGGGCCGGGTCCTGACTCACCGCCTGCCTGCAGAACTGCATGTTTGACACGTGTAACTGTGAGAGGAGCGAAGACTGCCTGTGTGCTGCGCTGGCCTCCTACGTGCACGCCTGCGCCGCCAAGGGCGTGCTGCTCCGCGGCTGGCGGGACGGCGTCTGCAGTGAGTGCGCTGTGCCTGCCCAGAGGCCTCTGCTGCCCTGAATGCCAGTTCATGTCCCCTATCTGAGCATCCCTTCTCCTGCGCCCACAGCGAAGCCCACAAGCACCTGCCCCAAGTCGATGGTCTATCAGGAGCACCTCAGCACCTGCCAGCCCACCTGCCGTGGCCTGAGCGAGGCCGATGTCACCTGCAGTGTGTCCTTCGTGCCTGTGGATGGCTGTGCCTGTCCCACCGGCACCTTCCTGGATGAGGCGGGCATGTGTGTGCCGGCCCACGAGTGTCCCTGCTACCATAGGGGCTCCGTGGTCCCCAGCGGCGAATCCGTGCACGACAGTGGGGCCATCTGGTGAGGCCGGGCCCCAGGGTGGGAGGAGACCCTGGGCTCCCCCCAGGACACTTGAGCACCCACCCTCTCCTTCCAGCACCTGCACACGGGGTGTGCTGACCTGCACTGGGGGTCCCGTGCTGAGCCCAGGTAAGTCTGGCCCCTGTCCCATGAGATGCCCCAGGCTGGTGCCATTAGTGGTCAGGAACATGGGGGTGTGGCTCCTGTACACTGGAGCCTTGCACATGCGCCACACCGCACACAC